ATTGGGATCAACTTAAAACACCTGGCTTGAAGTAAAAAACTATACAGGTTATGCTTTTGATTAACAGTTACTTCAAAATATTGGATGGAATCCTAGTCGTCTCCTGTGAGGTCATTCCACCGACAGTGCTCATTAACAAATTTGCTGACCCATGCCATCACAAATGTGTATGCCCTGGCAATGCAACTCCCTTTGTGCTACAAGGAATACACCCGAGCATTAAGTTAATAATCCCCATCAAAACATTAATTAGCATTTACAAGAGATTTAGTACTTCTATAACAGATGACATTTAACTCCCAATCCAGCTCAGCAACATACGACAAGCCCAGCACTTCAGTGGCACACAGCTAGTTCTACATCATGAGCATCTTTGTTACAAGAGGCTCCTTAATCCTATAAAATACAATCTACATCACTTGTGTAACAACTTCTCTTCCAAATTAATCCTAGTCTAAAATTTTAGCCTTTTTTTTTGCATGTGTGGTAGAGTAGTGCATCTGCTTCATCAACTTCAGACTGATGATTGCTGGGCTTTTTGCTGGCACTTCAGTATCTGCGGCCCGCCTGACCTCCATACTCACGAACACTGCCAAGGAAGTCAGACATAAATAATGGAACCATTAAAAACTAACATTATGATCATTGGCAAAATATTTAGATAATGAGAGGCCTGTAGTTATTGTTACCTAGTCTGATCATGATCAAAGTCTGGCCTGTAGTCGTGCTCTCCTCCATACTCGCGCACACTGGTGGGATGAAATAAAAACATAAAAATAACGTAAGATGCAAACATGCATTATGTAGCTCATAAGTAATAAATGCCAGAAAGTAAGGAATATTGTTTAACATTAGGAAAAAACTCATAATGCATATGTGCACCAGAAACTGCTCATACACGAGGCACAAACACTTCAGATTTGCTCACCAAGTGTAGTGGTTTTTGGGAGGGGTGATTCTTAAATTTCACTAGGAAAATAAAAAGTTTTGACTAAAAAAAGAAAAAAAATTTATATATTCATCCCTTAAACAGAGTGCATAAAAATTCTGACATTTAATCTAGCATGTAAATGTATTATCTGCAATGTACAATACAAACATACCAAATCAAACAAGCTAATAGTTTTACAGGGTGTAGGTGCATGGATATGTGATTACTTGTACAAGTGACTTTCTGCTTTTAGTGTTATTTTTGTCTATTTCAAGTTCCTAGGGGTGATCTCCATGTACTATCATCTGAATCCCATTTCATGATTAAGTATTTTGCATCATTTTTCTCAGTTTACAGTTGTGGTTGCATTCTCTGTTGCTGAAACTAAGGAATAATGTTATGTTCCTATTATCCTTTTGAGGTTTTATTTGGTTAATATCTCTGTGGCCTGGTGGCTAAAGCTCTCGCTTCCAACGGTGAGGGGCTGGATTCGATTCCCAGCGAAGGTAGAAACATTGGGCACGTTTCTTTACACTGGTTGTCTATGTTCACCCATCAGTAAAATGGGTACCTGGGAATTTGTCGACTTGTGTGGGTCACATCCTGGGACAAAACTGACCTAATTTGCCCGAAATGCTCTGCATAACAAGCGGCTTTCTATATAGTACTAAGTCATTGATGTCAACTAGGCCTGTATACCTTCTACATGTACTTGTAGTAAATGAAGATATTATATTACATTTCAACCAGCGAGAACATTCTTATTTCTTGGTTCTGAGAGCCAGTCTAACATTTTAGCCTGTTCCTATTTTTTCTACTTTTTTAAATGTACACAGGTACAATGCAATGGCATATTCCAAATTGGGTTTGATAGTTATTCACCCATGTATCAGAAGACTAATAATCCAGGTTGTGCCAAAACATCATTTAGAAAGAACCTCTTGTTGGTCTTTTGAATTATTCCAGGCATGGTAAGCCGAATTATTCTCCAATATTTTGAAGTTTGCTAATACAGTACATTTTTATCCCTATTTAATTTGAGATCAAACTTTTTTTTTATCCAATACTAAATCCTCCCCATTTGATGCTTTGAATATTTTAAAGCAGAACCTACATTCTGACTTACTTCTGTATGTGTAGAAATCAAGTGCATTTTCATTATCCATCTGTCACTCCATCTGAATTTCTCTTCTAGGAATTTAGGATTTTTTTTTTTTTTTTTTGGGGGGGGGGGGAGAGACATCATTTGCAAACTTTTCATAGTTTTCTTATATTCCTTCCTGCAAGTCATTTACATAAATGTTAAAAAATTGGAGCAAGTACTGATCCTTTTTGGACACTACTGGTGACATTTTCCCATTTGTCCATGTGTACTGGTGTACAGCATAAAGTTAAGCTTGAGGGAGTAACTCCAAACGTTTTTCCTTCCCTGATTCAAGGAGATTTATGTCCAGTGCCTAGCCATCAGATTATTTCCAGTCTCATTTCCTAATCTCAGTTCCATTATTCTGCCATATGGTGTTACAGTCTTCTTCCACTTACTCTATTTTGGCATCACCCAAAAAAAAAAAAAAAAAAAAAAAAAAAAAAAAAAAAAAAAAAAAAAAAAAAAAAAAGCAGCTTACTCCTGTTAGCATGTTACTTATATACAATGGAACTAATACTGATCCATAGAGTATTTTTCTAGTTATATTTTTCCATCCTGCATTAAGACTTATTCAATATGCTCTAAGCCATGACAGTGAGCCTTCTGGGCAAGACCTCATCAGTGGCTCTTAATCTAATTCACCTATTTTTAACTTATCTTTCCTGTTATGCTCAGTCTCTCCAATGTCAGGCACAACTTAATCATGTCTTAACTAGTATCCATAATTGCAATGAGGTTTGAGATTTCAACTTAATTTTGGGTTCAACTTGAGATTCCATCATGTTTGTGTACATTACTTCGATGGATGCTCCTACCTGGCCACAGTACCCAGCACATTCAAGCACCTATTTATCTAACCATTCCTGAAAACTGTCCAGTCTATCATCAGTTTATATTCAGTATTTTGGCATTACCCCACAAACTAGATTATGTAGCAATCTATTCATACTGTTCAGTAGTAAATTTACAGTGGGCTTAACACCAATTACTGTATGGCATTACTAGTTATGCCCTTATCCTGCTACTTCATCCCTTATAATTGTGCCCTCATGCTGAAGTATTCCATTATTTTAATACCAGTAGTATGCCTGCTAGCTTCCAGCTGTCTGGCACCATCTTTCTCTTAGAATTTATAGTGCTATTCCATCAGGTCATATCTTTTGATGTATCAAGTTCCCTCAGGAGTCTTACAGCCTCATTAGGTCATGTGTTAATATTTTCATTTTGCCATCCACTCTAGTACTGGCCCTTGGTCATGATAATCACTGCAGAAACATCTGTTAAGTTCATTTAACAGTTCCCTTCCATTTTCCATGAGAGTTTCCCTTTATTTCCTCACTATCACCTCATCCTTTAACATTTTTCTTCAGATGGAACTGAAGCAACCTTGATTCCATCTTTGCCATGGCTGCTATTTTTAATTCAAAAGTGATTTTTCTGCTTCCCATCACAATTTCTAGTCTCACTCTCAAGTTCATTCTGCACTTTTACCATGTTTTTTCTCCACTTCTGCCACCTTGTAGAGAGTGAGAGTGTGAACGTATGTGTGTACTCACCTAGTTCAGGTTGCAGGGGTCGAGTTCAAGCTCCTGGCCCCGCCTCTTCACTGATCGCTACTAGGTCACTCTCCCTGAACCGTGAGCTTTATCATACCTCTGCTTAAAGCTATGTATGGATCCTGCCTCCACTACATCGCTTCCCAAACTATTCCACTTACTGACTACTCTGTGGCTGAAGAAATACTTCCTAACATCCCTGTGATTCATCTGTGTCTTCAACTTCCAACTGTCCCCCCTTGTTACTGTGTGTGTATACACGTGTGCGTGTACGTGTATACACGTGTGCGTGTACGTGTGTACACGTGTGCGTGTACATGTGTACACGTGTGCGTGTACACGTGTGTGCGTGTACACGTGTGTGCGTGTACACGTGTGTGCGTGTACACGTGTGTGCGTGTACACGTGTGTGCGTGTACACGTGTGTGCGTGTACACGTGTGTGCGTGTACACGTGTGTGCGTGTACACGTGTGTGCGTGTACACGTGTGTGCGTGTACACGTGTGTGCGTGTACACGTGTGTGTGTGTACACGTGTGTGTGTACGTGTGTGTGTACGTGTGTGTGTACGTGTGTGTGCGCGCGTGTGTGTACGCGTGTACTCGCCTATTTGTGGTTGCAGGGGTCGATTCATAGCTCCTGGCCCTGCCTCTTCACTGATTGCTACTAGGTCCTCTCTCTCCCTGCTCCATGAGCTTTATCATACCTCGCCTTAAAACTATGTATGGTTCCCGCCTCTACTACTTCACTTTCTAGGCTATTCCACGGCTTGACTACTCTGACTGAAGAAATACTTCCTAACATCCCTTTGATTCATCTGAGTCTTCAACTTCCAATTGTGACCTCTTGTGTCTGTGTCCCATCTCTGGAACATCCTGTCTTTGTCCACCTTGTCTATTCCGCGCACTATTTTGTATGTCGTTATCATGTCTCCCCTGACCCTCCTGGCCTCCAGTGTCGTCAGGCCAATTTCCCTCAACCTTTCTTCGTAGGACAATCCCCGTAGCTCTGGGACTAGTCTTGTTGCAAACCTTTGCACTTTAACTTCTTGACGTGCTTGACTAGGTGTGGATTCCAAACTGGTGCTGCATACTCCAGTATGGGCCTGACGTAAATGGTATACAGAGTCTTGAACGACTCCTTACTGAGGTATCGGAACGCTATCCGTAGGTTTGCCAGGCGCCCGTATGCTGCAGCAGTTATCTGATTGATGTGCGCCTCAGGAGATATGCTCGGTGTTATACTCACCCCCAGATCTTTTTCCTTGAGTGAGGTTTGCAGACTTTGGCCATCTAAACTATATTGTGTCTGCGGTCTTCTTTGCCCTTCCCCAATCTTCATGACTTTGCATTTGGCGGGGCTAAACTCAAGGAGCCAGCTGCTGGACCAGGCTTGTAGCCTGTCCAGGTCTCTTTGTAGTCCTGCCTGATCCTCATCCGATTTGATTCTTCTCATTAACTTCACATCGTCCGCAAACAAGGACACTTCTGAGTCTATCCCTTCCATTATGTCATTCACATATACCAAGAACAGCACAGGTCCAAGGACTGACCCCTGTGGAACCCCGCTTGTCACAGACGCCCACTTTGACACCTCGTCACGTACCATGCCTCGTTGCCTCCCTGTAAGGTATTCTCTTATCCATTGCTGTGCCTTTCCTGTTATGTGTGCCTGATCCTCTAGCTTTTGCAGTAACCTCTTGTGAGGAACTGTGTCGAAGGCCTTCTTGCAGTACAAAAAAATGCAGTCGATCCACCCCTCTCTCTCTTGTCTTACTTCTGTCACCTTGTCATAAAACTAATAGGTTTGTGACACAGGATTTTCCCTCCCTGAAACCATGCTGGGTGTCAATTATACACTTGTTTCTTTCCAGGTGCTCCACCACTCTCCTCCTGATGATCTTCTCCATGACCTTGCATACTATACACGTTAGTGATACAGGTCTGTAGTTTAGTGCTTCATGTCTGTCTCCCTTTTTAAAAATTGGGACTACATTTGCCATCTTCCATACCTCGGGGAGTTGCCCAGTTTCAAATGATGTGTTGAAGATCTTTGTCAATGGTACACACAATGTCTCTGCTCCCGCTTTAAGGACCCACGGAGAGATGCTGTCTGG